AACCTGAGCCACCGGCTATTATAACAATTTATAGAGAAATAGGAGGCAAGGCCAGGCTGTAGAGCAGATGGTAAAATGTTCCTCTCCCATCAGTGCTCCAGGAGGGGAGAACTGTTACATGACTGAACTTGAGGTGCTGGAGGTATCATTACCCTGAACCTCTCACTTTTATGGAAGAGGAAGCGAAAGCATCTTCAGTACCACAGGAGCCAGTGTGTAATCACAACACTCAAGAGGTAGAAAGTCAGAAGTTCAAGGTCATCCTCTGCTGCTACAAGTATTAAGGCCAGCCTTCCCCTCTCAAAAACAGTCTTCTAAAGAAAAGAAAAAAGACACAAAATGGTGACTGTGGTGGAGGGGGGAAGTATATCTGGGAGGAGTTGGGGGAAAGAATGTGGTCAAGATACATTGTATAAACTTCTCAAAGTAAATTAACAAATACTATTTTTTAAAACCCAACAAAAGAAAGCTAGGAGATAAAGTCCACAGTACACATAAAATTAGTTGTGATACGGTTTAATAGGCTAGGCTTGTCCAACTTTTTGGCACTAACGCCATGAAATTGGCATCTACAAAGCTCACATTCAAGAACTAGGCAACCATCTCCTGTATCCAGACAAGACTTCCAGTGGAAGGAATGGGACACCAACCCAGCCACAATACCTCTGACCTACAATTAGTCCTGCCTGCAATGTGCTGGGGGTAAAAGCGGCACAGAACTTGTGGGAGACTTCTCTAATTGAAACCAATGCCATGAAAAGAGAAGGAACCCATGCCAGACACTACCTGGAGGGCCAGAAACTAGAGACTGGATAACCCAGAGACATAGGGTAGAACCAAACACGACTGTGGGAAAAAGTCCATAAAATAATTCCTCTGCTATACCCATAGACTGGGACCTAGTAAAATCATCATCAGAGAGCCTTCTTCCAGCAACTGATGGGAGCTGATGCACAGACCCACAGCCAAGAATTAGGCAGATCTTGGGGAATCTTGTGGATGAGGGGAGGAAGGGTTATAGGAGTGAAAGGGGTCAAGGAGCACACAAGAAAACAGCCCGCAGGGCTCATAGGGTCCCACAGAGACTGAGCTGTCAATCAGGGAGCTTGCATGGGTCTGATCAAGATCCTCTGCATATATGTTAGGGTTATATAGCATGGTGTTCTTGCGGGACTCCTAACAGTGGGCAAAGCAGCTGTCTCTGACGGTTTTGTCTGCTTTTGGAACCCTTTTCCTCCTATTGAGTTTGCCTGGTTCAGCCTTAATGTGAGGGGATGTGCCTAGTTTTATTATAACTTGACATGCTGTGTTTGGTTAATATCCCTGGGAGGTCTGCCCTTTTCTGAAGGCAAATGGACAAGTCGTGGATCTGGGGGAGAGACTGGAAGGAAAGGAGGAAGAGGAAACTGTGGTCGGGATGTAATATATGACAGAAGAATAAATTTAAAAAATAGAATTGGGCAACCAAATTACAGAAAAAGCAGACACACACACACACACACACACACACACACACACACAAATCTCATAATGTCTCAAGTAGGAATATGATTTTGTATTGGGCTATATCCATAGATTCTTAGCTGCCTTCAGTCCACATGCTGTATGCTAGAAACACTTCTACAAGTCTTTTCCTCGGGAGAAAGTCAATCAATTCAGGCCCTAGGTTCTTCCAACTCTGTTCTGTGTTACAGGTAGGTTTTTCTCAAGATCTACCCAAACAAGAAAAACCGGGTTGGCTTTCCATCTTAAGGATCTCCAATTTGTTTGTTTTGTTGTTTTGAGAGAAGATCTCACACTATAGCCCTGGTTGGCCTCAAACTCACTAAGTATCCCAGGCTGGCCTAGAACTCAAGGCAGCCCTCCTGCATCCATCTTGATGGTGCAAGCATCAACGGTTTGAGCTACCTTACCCTGTTTAAACTCTCCCCTTTTTGAAATCGAGAAGCATCTCCAGAGTTTTAGGACGGTGGGTGTAAAATGCCCAGCAATTCCAGGCCTAGCAGAATTCTCTGTTCCTAGGTACATTTATTTCATAAAGATAGACAAAGATCTTTTCTTTCCAGGTCAGGTTCCAGCTTGGACTCTTGCACACCTGCTAAGCAATGGAATTTCCAAGCTTGTACTCTTGCACCTGTTCAGCATGCTAATTTTCCAGTTTGGACTCTTGCACACTTGCTAAGCATACTAACTTTTCAGCTAGGACTCTTGCACACCTGGTAAGCCCACTTATTTTCATGCTTTGATTGGTGCATACCAGTTAGCCAAAAGGAATGGCATAAGTGTCTCTCTTGAGAATTCCCCCTCTTCCACCAGCCGTGAGAGCACTTGAGGTGCAGTAGCTATTATCACCCTGTCCTATCACTCTTATGGATGATGGAATGAAAGATGGCAATAACTCTTTGCAGAGAAATCCTTCCATAGATTTCTTTGCTGCTCCCTGTATAATAAAACTTCTTATTTATTAGAGGATTTCCCATGTAAATTCTGTGATCTGGCTTCACCATTTCTCACCTACCATAGAACATCTATTATCTTCCTGGAAACTTGAATTTTAATCATATTATGTAAGTATTATTTTTCCAAATATTTATGTAAAATCTCTTCTCTAGAAAAATGTGCTAGCTTTATCCTGTAGTTTAATTACTCATAAGCATACTGTTCCATTTAGAAAAATTCCAGTACCCTCTATCTGTTTGACGATAGAGATCCTAAGCCATACTGGTAAACAAGTCATTTAGGATTTCAAGGAGACCTCAAATAATTGTAACCACCGGAATGATGGGAAATGAAGACATAAAATCTAGAATTGTTTAGGAGAGTGTGGGAATAAAAGGAAAGTCAGGCAGTCATTTATTTAATATTTTTGCAGTGCCAGTAATTGAACACAGGTCCCCATGTGCACTATAAAATCACTCTACTGCTGAGCCACATGCCCAGCCCAGTAATGTCTTCAAATTGGCAAGACATTGCTATTAATAAATACCATAATAGGAATTCTTTATGACCAGGTATTAGTAAATAAACAATGCACTGGTACAGTACTGGAGAATAGACCCTGACTGTCCCAAACCAGACTTTCACTAAATTCTCAAGGAAATCCATTCCTGATAGAGGTTAAGAACCACTGCTATATGGAATACTACTCAATGGGGAAAAACATAAACAAAAACAAAAGCCAATGGAATCCTTAAATTCACAGGCAAATAGATGGAACTAGAAGAAACCATCCGGAGTGAGGTAACCCTGTCACAAAAAGACAAACATGGTATGTACTCACTCATATATGGATTTTAAACATAAAGCAAAGGATTACCAGCCTATAATCTACACTACCAGAAAAGCTAGGAAACAAGGAGGACCCTAAGAGAGACATGCATGGTCCCCAGAGAAGGGGAAAGGGACAAGATCTCCTGAGCAAATTGGGAGCAAGGGAGAGGGGAGAGGGAGTTAGGAGAAAGAGGAGGACAGAAGAGGAGGGGAGAGCTGGGCATGAGGGAGCAGGAAGATTGAGTCAGGGGAAGAATAGATGAGAGGAAGAAAAGATGCACCATAATAGAGGGAGCCCTTATAGGTTTAAAGAGAAATCTGGCACTAGGAAAATGTCCAGAGATCTACAAGTATGACCCCAAATAACAATCTATGCAACAGTGGAGAGGCTACCTTAAATGCCCTTCCCAGATAATGTGATTGATGACTACCTTAAATGCCATCCTAGAGCCTTCATCCAGTAGCTGATGGAAGCAGAAGCAGACACCCACAGCTAAACACTGTGAGCTGAACTCCTGGAATCCCTTTGCAGAGAGGAAGGAGTGATAAGAAAAGGGGTCAAGACCAGGCTGGAGAAACCCACAGAGACAGCTGACCTGAGCAAGTGGGACGTCATGGACCCCAGGTTGATAGCTGGGAAAGCAGCATAGGACCGACCCAGATTCCCTGAAAGTGGATGTTAGTTAGAAGGACTGGACAATCTATGTGGCCTCTAGTAGTGGATCAGTATTTATCCCTAGTACATGAATGGACTTTGGGAGCCCATTCAACATAGGGGGGATACTCTCTCAGCCTAGACACATGTGGGAGGGCCTAGGCCCTGACCCCGAATGATATGACAGATTGTGAAGATGCCCCTGGGGAGCAGAAAGGGGATGGGATGGGGGTTGAGAGGGGGTCAGGGGAGCAGGGGAGGGTGAGGGATCTGGGATTGACATGTAAAACAATCTTGTTTCAAATTTAAAGTAAAAAATTAAAAAAAAGAAAGAAAGAAAAATAACCACTGTTACAGGGGGAAAATACTGGCTCCAATGTCCCTCGGTTACATTGTAGACTTTCCTTGTGAATCTCGGGTTTTCAGTTATTGAAAGGAAGATTTTATTGCACAAATCACAGTGTTCTCACAGAAAAAAAATGACTCTTTTGGTTTTGTTTCGTTTGTGGACACATAGTCTCATGTAATCCAGGATAGCATGGAACTCACTATGGAGACAAGGTGGCTTTGAATTCCTGATTGTCCTGTCTCCATCTCTCAAGCGCTGCCATTATACCTGGTGGAGGAAATGACTTTTTTTTTATGTTCAATGATTTATGTACACTGGGCCTTCAAGAAATACTAATCTCCTTCTTAATATATACAAGACCGAGCATTTGAACTACAAGTCAATGATTCATTTTTAACTTTACGCATTTTCTTTCTTCGAAGATTTTTCTGCCCTTAACTGGTAGCAGGCTGCTGTTTAATTTCCACATTATATTCAAGCTAAATTTTATTAGCATGATGCCTAGAAGTTTCTCAAGCCCAGAAACATACACATGCATTCATTCTGTTTGTAAATGTGGAATTATTTAAATACCACCACACCCTGGCATGTTTCCATTCTAAGCCCATATTGTCCTGAGAGCTAGGAGGAGAAAAATCTCTTGAATTGAACCAGACATCTGATCCTCTTAAATGACACATGAAGCGCTTTTACAAAGAGAAGAAGCCCTTGCTAATCCCACATATGCAGTGAAGGAGGCTTGAAGGGGTTAAAGTGGAAGGCTTGTACAAACTTTGCTCTCACATCTCCTCCCTCCCCCGGGGGCTCTGCACAGCTCGGCAGAGCTGAGCACAGTGGAATCGTCACCTTTCCTTGTATTCGCTCAACTGTTGCCTGCAAAGGAGGAACCAGGCACTTAACCAAGCCGGGCTGCTTCTATTCAAATGTTCCAAGAGGACATCTACAGGTCCAGAGACTTCTCAATGCTCTTTGCAGCTTAGAAGAAACGGACATCAGAAACTGCACTCTGAAGCTGTAAGTGGTAACTGGGATTTTTAAGTAACTAACTGAAGGTGCTTTTCTGCTTTTCTGAAAAGGCTGACTCTTGAGGAAGGTGAAAGAGAAAGCATATGTGCATGGGCATAGTCCTGTTTCCTTGGGTAGGGGGACGCTTCAAGCCTTTTTTCTATTTTCCAGATATTCCAGAGATGCTCCTAAACAAGTTGTCTGCTGCTGCAAGCTTCAAAGGGGACATTTAAACGGCCAGCCCCATTCATTCTGTGACCCAGGGAAGGTAAGAAATATGGGGAAGTACAATGATGCTATTCACGCCGAAGTGAGCATCAATTTTATTTACCAGCAGGTGTAACAGGCACCATCTGCAGCAGAAGATACAGCAACTCCCACTTAATGTCTCCAACCATTGAAGGAGCACTCACTGCTGACATTGGTTTTTCATAGGCTGATAAGAAACTCGATACTTGAGTACTTACCTCCCTCAGTTTCCTGTCCCTCATTAGGCAGATGCATGCAAACAGAATGTGTTAACTCTTGAATGTGATGCCAATTAACAGCCAGGACTTGCTTTTAGGAATTGTTCTATGGGTTGTTTTTCTTCCCTTTTTGTGTGTTAGGATTTAATCTCTGAAATTATACATAACAGGTAGTATGCAAAGAATTATAAAATGACCCAGGATTTTTTTTAGAACTTTATCAATAAAAAGGAAAAGCAACTATTGGGGCACCCCAATGACCAAAACAGGGATAAGTTTATACTGATTTCTGTATCCACAGAGCTAACCTTAGTGCCTGGAATTTGATTGGCACTCAATAAAATTTGACTGAATAAATGTCAGTGACATTTTGTGGAACGGTATAGAACAGTGTTGCTTATGTTGCCTCTATTCTTTCCTTATTTTAAGGAGATAAATTATGGTCTAAGAATGTATGTCATTTTACTCCTATGAGGCTTTATACACTAAACTTAGCAATCCAAATCTTATAGTTAAATAAAAGGAGATTTTTATTATCAAGAATTTGTTTGCCAAGTTAATGACTAAACATGCAAATAGAAAACAAAAGTTTCATTCACATCACTCTTGGGAATTTTGATTTACATTAGAAATAGATAGTTGTTTGGTTAATGTTGACACTCCAACAATATTGATGTCTTTCTCTTTTCCCTTACCTCCAAACTTCTCCTCTCCTTCCTCTCTCGTTCCCCAATATTTTCCCATTTCTCTTCGCCTTGAAAGTTTGTTTCTTCCCAGCTCTTCTCCCCCATATCCCTCGTTATCTGTCCTCACCTTGGCAATGTTTCCCTGCTCTCTCACAGTCTTCTCTTTCCTAATTTCCTCTCCTCTGTCTATTCCTATTCCTAACCTTTGGGTCCACTGTTCACTCTTATCTTTACCCAGCAACACTTTCAATCGCTTTTTACAAAATTAGAAATTACGGTATATTTATATGATTTCCAGAAAAGAATACAGGATGAGAATATTAATCTATAGAAATCTTTCCACAATAATCAGATCCCCAGAATAGATAGAAATAGTGTTCTGTTTGTTTGGTTTTTCCTTTCAGATGGTGAAGAGCTTTACACGGAGAAGTCCTATTCTGTGTGCAGTTTATTAATTATTTATTAATTAGTTATCAAAGAACCACAGCATTGTTATTTGGAAAGCTTTTATGAAAAGTTGTCACAGACACAGGACCACAGTGACAATTCTCTGATTCCTAACTTTACATTTGTTAAATTCAAAGTCCTTTATGAATTTTAGAAATGAAACCAATACACCTGTCTGAACTAACCCAGGCATTTGTTATCCTACAAACTACAGAGGTTTAAAGAAATTATATAATTCATTTTTGAAACATCAAAGCAAATGTTTAAAGAAAGTGATGATTTTTGCTGATGTTATTGTTATTTAACTTTCATCAAGAATCATAGAATTTTGATGATTAGTATATTCAAACATAAGGAAAATTCATGGCCAATGCTAGAGGAGGCATAAAAGCACTCTCATTCATTACTAAAAGCCATATAGTCACTACTATACTTTCTAAACTTTACAAATTATCTTCTAGAGGATGTGGCTTGGTGTTAGAACAATTGACCAGCATGCACAAGATCCTAGGTTCGCTCCCCATAGCAACCAAAAGCGAGAAAGAGAAGAAATTTAATTCATCGCTGTAGTTTTCTTTTAAATGTATATAACTCAAACAATAATTCTAGAATGAAGTTTAAAATAGTTATTATGCCTTTAATTCCACATTATAATCTGGAATTTAGTCTCCATAAGCCACTGGAAAGCATGAGAGGAGATTAGACAGGAAAAGGACTTCAGGCTTTTCTCTAAGTTGTGCTGTGAGCCTTTATTATCTGAGAGTACTGAATTTGTGAGTCCAACCAACAGCAGGTTCAACCAACTACATGTGACAAATTACTATTAAGAAATATGCTCTACTAAATTGTACAACCTTTTGTTTCTTCTCACTAGTCACTAAAAATGGGTATAATAATTTATGTAGTATATGCATTGTATTTGGTATTACAAGTAATCTACAGATGGATTAAAATATATAAAAGACGTATAAAATCCTATGTAAATGAGTCACTTTACATAACATATTGACCATGCTTGGACTTTTGGTAACTATGCAGTTCTATAAACAATGCCAAAGGACAGTTATAGTCACCACTAAATCAGAAGCAAGAAAGGGCTATATTTTTCTGCAAGCTCTCACTGATAAGTGCATTTCTTCAGTCATATCCATGCATTTATTCAATTGTTATTGATCAGCTACTGCGAGCAAAGTTATATAAGAGATGTGATATTGTATGAGAAATCAAGGAGTGTAGAAAACATCTCAAATACACATTTACAGTATTAGTCAAGGGTATTTTATCTAAGAAAGATATAAAATGTTGTGGTAATTAAGATTTGGGTGAGAAACAAGGTCAGTTTCATGAGCTGAACCTTCAAGAATATAGTATTTCCCTATGCATAGATACATAAAAGTAGAGGGAAAGAAAAGAATTGGGTTGAGTGAGCATTACTAGAAAGGAGAATGTTAGAAGGAATTAATGACAGCCTGGACATTAATAATCTTACATATCAAGCTAAGGAGAATGGAGCAAAGTCCAATGACAATAAGAACTTGAGCATCATACATAAATCAAAACATTTTAAAATGTTTCATTGTATATATTGATTGTGAATGGTACTGTGTCACATCAAGATATTTCATACACGTGTATGTTGTACACTGAGTATATGTCTCCTATTCCCCCATGCTTCCATCAGTCCCTTTTCCTCTTAGAGAGTTTTACTTCTATTTTCATTCCCTTCCCCATGTGTGTGTGTGTGTGTGTGTGTGTGTGTGTGAGAGAGAGAGAGAGAGAGAGAGAGAGAGAGAGAGAGAGAGAGAGAGAGAGAGTGAGATTTTATGTGTCTCTATAAACTCTAGGACCTGTAGATGAGAGAAAACATGGCATTTGTCATCCTGAGATTGACTTAATTTTTTAATATAGATATTTCCAGCTGGATCCACTTTCACAAAACCAACATAACTTTCTTCTTCTTTATGGCTGAAAGGTTCCACTGTATAGAATGATTTTTCATTTTTTATGCATTCCTTTGTTGTTGGAATTTTTCCAATTTTAAACTGAATCACACTACCATTTCTTAGGCATCCGTTGCTAAACAAAATTCAAGGTATAGTCTATTAGTTACTGCTTGAAAGAAGTAGATAGAGGCATGAGATGAAGAAAACTTAGTAATGATTATTCTCTTGCAGTTGGTATTTATTCACAGGTATTTGTCTATGGCTGTTCATTGTATTCCTTAGTAAACAAAAAACCCTGAATTTACTAATGATAACAATGTACCAAAAGTCAAGGCACATGATTTATCAAAACCTGTGTATTTTATCTATGAAGGCAACCAGAAAGATACTATGGCATTGTTGAGGCTTCTCTTAATTGGCTTACTATATAGCAAATGCTCATGCTTCCTTCTGCTTCCCATCTGAAAGGTGTGTGGAAAAGTGACTTATAAGAGTCAAGAGTGGAAAGCATATTGAGCTCTTGTGTCTAGGCTACTATCATTCCTTCTTCTGTTGTCTAGTTTTTTGGTGGGAGAAGTTATGATAGCTCTCATGTAGCCCCAACTGGCTCTGATTGTCCCATGTATTTGAGAATGGCCTTGAGTTCTTGGTCCTCCTGCATCCACCTCTTGAGATAAAAGACATATACTTCCAAGACTGGCTCTAATGATAGGAGCCACAGTGAGAAGGTTAGTTGGGAAAGAAATCTGTTCAGACTGACACCCTACCTAAGAAAAACAAGATATTTAATACCCAATAGAGATCAAAAGATGGTTGTGTATGAGTTGTCAAAAATCCTGAATTTGAAGTGTTCTGTTCTGTTTGTAGCGTTGGGTTGCATATTAAGATCTCTTGTGAAGTTTTCAAGCCATACAGATGTTTACCCTCCACATTCCCTAAAGAACATGCTTAGAAACTAAGTGGGTAACTTGCTACAAACAGAAATTTCATGGTTCTGTCCCCAGGGATTCTTACCAGGGATTGAGGAAAATGGCCTAGGAAGTTGCACTTTGACTAGCATGTTCCAGGTACATTATTGTGGCTGAAGAGACTTCTCTTGACTCCCACTAAGAAAAGCCCAGGGCTGCAGAGTGATTATTCTGCACATTCATTTCCTAAAGGTTCCATAACAGAGGTACATAAACTAAGAGGGTTAAAATGGCAGAAATTGATACTGTGGGGTGTGTGTGTGTGTGTGTGTGTGTGTGTGTGTGTGTGTGTGTGTGTGTGTGTGTGAAGCCCCAAATCCCAGCACTTAGAAGGCAAAGTTGGGAGAATTTTTGCAAGTTGGAGGCGAGTCTGGCCTTCACAGCAAGTTTCAGACCAGCTGTGTCAAAAGTAAAATTATTCTCTTAGCTAGGAGCTAGGACATAGTCTAAACTGCCACTAATGTAAATCCAAGCATCAGCTTGGAAGCACATCCTTGGAAATTTGTAAGGATGAATACTTCCTAACCTCATCTAGCCTCTAGTGTTTGCTGGCCATCTTTGGCATTCTTTGCTTTGCAGATCTGTCACTGCAGTCTCTTTGTCAGTCTTGTCCCTGTGTGTCTTATAAGGACATCAGTCATTGGATTATGGCCAACACAATGACCTCATTCTAATTTGATTACATCTGCAAAGGTCTCATTACCACATGAGGTCAGAGGCATAGGTATTGGAGGTAAGAACAGCATATACAAGATCTGCACATGTTCAAATCTGACAAATTCCAGCACTAAGAAGGGAAAATGTGCATACCCCTAACCAAGAAGCTATTAGCAACTGATACCTGCTGGGAAAGGGGAAAAAATCCATTTCTCCAGTGAAATGCCACTGGGTGTGTCAACTACAGTCTACGGTAGACCGCATACCCAGGCTTGGACAAAATGAACTCCATGATGGGTTTTTTTTTTGTGTGTGTGCGTGTGTGTGTGTGTGTGTACACATTTGTTTGATATATTATTTTTGTCTTATGGGTTTTTGTGTTTGTTTTGATTTGCATTTTGTTTTGGGGTTGTTTTTCAAGAAAGGGAGAAAGAACATGAAGTTGGAAGGGTAAGAAGAATTGGAAGAGAGGAAGGAATCAAAATATGTTGTATGACAAAAAAAATAATTTAAAAAAAGACCATTGAGCAATCCATAAAACAAATCAGCTCTCTAGATGAAGAATTATTGTTTGTTCTCAATGTTCAGTGTACAGAGAAATCACTTTCATAGAATGTGTATTTCTAGACCTTGATTCCATATAGCCCCAAATTAAAATATATATATATACTTTTAGGTATAGCAAGTATGTATCCTAGACCATTGCATCAATGATAATACATTTCTTATGAGCAAAAGTGGCTGTGGGGGAAGGGGGAGGACAAGGGCACTAACTAAGTGGAGATCAGTTGTTCTCAACCTATGAGTCTTGATTTCTTTGGGGGTTGAATGACACTTTCGCAGGATTCACATATCAGATATCTTCCATATTAGGTATTTACATTATGATTCATATCAGTAGCAAAATTATAGTTATGAAGCCACAATGAAAATAATTTTATGGATGGACATTTGAGAACCACTGGCGGAGAAACTAAGATGCATATGAATCACAGAAAATATAACAATGAAGACTAGGGAATATAAACTCAAACTGAAGTTCTCCAGTCTAGGGGTAGAATTCAAGGTGACTGTGAGTAATGACTGTTGGAGCTATTTCCATTAACACTCATTCTGTCTGATTAAAACCAAAAAACAGAAGGAGTCTATATTGTCAGCAATTTATTACTATTGCGCTCATGTAGCCCCAACTGGCTCTGATTGTCCCATGTCTCAAGGCCATTCTCAAATACAAATGATGGTTGTTTGTATTGTTTATTTTAGTCACTTATATTCAATATTAATCTTTGAAACAGTGAACAGAACCATTCTATTTACACAGAGGAATATTTTTACCAATAAAGACAACTACCTACTCGACCTCACTATGAAAGATGCATACCCTCCAAGTTCTTTTGGTCTACAAATATTTAATCAAATGTATATCCTCACACTACAAACCCAAATGAAAAAGAACACGAACAGTATTAGGGAAGCCTGAATTCCTGAACATTCCGTGATTCATTAAAGTGACAATTGCCACTGGGACCTGGAGACTGAAAACCAAATCTTGAAATTCAGATCTTTGTTTCAATGGCTGGGTTTCCAGTGGTTCGTAGCCCTGGCTGTAATTTCAAGTTACTTGGGGAGCTTTTAAAGGTTAGCACTGCTTGAGCCTCATCCCAGACCAATAAAGTCTGAATCTCTCAAGCACTACTTTGAAGATTAGTATCCAAACATCTAGGCCAGGGACCAGCATCTGCATATTAATAAGAACTATAGTTATATTTCATGATCAGTCAGCATAAAATATACTATATTAATCTGGCCTAGTAATTAGTTTCAGCTTAGCAATATGATTTTTCTTTCACCTTTTGTTGTTGTTGTTGTTGTTCCTTTCTATTTAATCCTTTTTTGTTCTTTCACCTTTAAAGGCCATTTCCTTCATTGGAAAAAGGCATTTAAAATTAGGTAAGCTCATGGTTTTTTATTTTAAATCGAGTTTTCCTGCAGCAAACTAATTTGCAATACATATGTTCATACCTATTTCAAAATAATTTGCCACCTATTATTTTTAGATAATTGAACCATTCTCTCTCTTATTTATTTTCAGGAAAATTAATCTGTGAAGAATCCTATCAGTCAAATTCTCTGAGCCCTGGCCTCTTGTCAGCATATCTGAGACCTCCTTCACCTGAGAATCAACAGGTCTCACAACACTTCCCCTGCAGTCTACAGTGAGGGATGTCAAAAAATCTATAGACTATTCATGCCCTGTATTCTTATATCCTTCAGCTGGGCATCTGGGCAGGAACATTACAATCTCTAACTTTAGAGAAGATTGAGCAAGTCAGGCAAAAGAGCTCAAAACTCAGATATGCTCAGCCAGAGATATACAGAAAGAAGCCTTTAGCAAATCGCCTCACAGAGGAACCTAATTAAATCTGCACCATTAGTCTGCAGATCTAGATGAACTGTGGATAAAAAGGAGCCTTTTCTCCTTTTGCTAAACAACATAACGAAGTAAACAAGCAAAAACCTCAGAAATCGAATATAATACCGTAGGAGATTCTTGTCTCCATGTCAGTATTATAAAGTAGTTTCACCATATTCATTTTCACCAGTGTAAGATTAAGAGAGTGAAAACTGACTATTTACTGTCTAAACTGACTAAGAAGTTCTGATAAACCTATTTGGGAGGGGTCTGTTTGCTAGAGGGCAGGAAAGTGTAACAATTTGCAAATTAGAAGACCGCTCACACTCTTCTTGCTTATACACTACTGATTTGGGTCTGTACCACATTGTTAAAACACCACCAATACAGTCACAGACAGGGTTAGTTACTGTGGAATGCCCCAAGGGCAATAGAAATCAAATAGAAGCAAATACCAACTCAAGTCTTGAGTGATGACGGAGGTGCATTTTAAGTATCATGGAAATCTCACTGGGCGGGCTCATTTTCCCACTCTGGCAACAGAGGTTGATACCACTTCAGACAAGTATTCCAACCTGTACATGTATGTAGGATTGTTTCTGAGCCTCCTGGCCATTCTTCTCATCTTGCTCTTCACAATGCTTCTTCGGCTCAAACATGTCATCTCGCCCATCACTGAGAGCACAGAAAGCGTTCCTCAGTTCACAGATGTAGAGATGCAAAGTCGAATTCCCACTCCTTAAAATCAAAATGATGGCAAGACTCAGCGGATATGAGCAAACCCTGGCATGCTGATTGATGTTCAGAAAGGCTTTCTTTTTTACATGTGAGGCTTCGCTTGTAACAAGCTGCTCGTGTTTTCTGTTCAGCATTCTTCATCTTGACTGTGCTTGTGGGACATCTAAGAGGCTTAAGATTCATTCTTTAAAGGAATATGGGAAATAGCAGCTGGTTGGGCTGGCAGGTTTCCATAGTAACCAGAGAGAGCCTGAGCCTTGAACAAACCTCAAACCACAGAAATTCATATGCAGCAGTTGTTAAAACACAAGATCCCAGGAAGCTGCAAGAGCATACAAGAATTTACCTTAAGATATTCTGAGGACCTCCAAGAAATGACAGGCTTTAATTTATTACTTTAGCCCTAAAGAATTACTTCATACATAACACACACACACATCTTCTGACATGGAGCTAAATCATGTCACAGGTAAATGGAAGGGATTATTAATCTTTTCCTCAAAACAACAACACTATAATCATCACAGGTCATCGGATTTCTCCCAAAGGAAAGATGAGATTTAAAGAACCTGTTACCATTTAAAAAGAAATTTTGCAGGAAGTTTCTGGTGAATGAGTAAAATGTGCATATTATATCTGTGTTATTACTATTACTGGACTTATAAAAATTCAGATAATAGCAGGTGTGTTACTATTATCTGGGACAATGAACTGCCTCCAAATCAAGGAAATAATAAGTCAAACTTTCCTCATAAGGATTTCTACATTATACACACAGCTTCTTTGTCTTTTTCTCCCTCCTCATTGCAAACCAGGATTAAGTTGCACATAAATATGAGCTTGGTTTGAAAAGGGGATTGGCAAAGAAGACACAAGTGGATTTCAAAGCAGAAATGAAATGATCTGTTACTGAGTGATTGTAACTTTGACCAAAGCATGCCAGCTTTCTGGGTCTTGAATTTTTCTTGCTGAAAACAAACTGTTCAGAGAGCTAATTCATGATCACTTTTTAGACATGAGTAGAAGATACACAGAGACTAAAGGGAATAGGACTAAAAGTTACTCTGCAACAGTTCTTAATATTATCAATGTCCTCAAATGGTGCATTTCTCTTTCCCAGAAAATGCTCCTTCCTTTCCGATCCCTGCCAAAAACTGAAGTGTTTCAATTATTACCTATAAGAGAAATATATTTTGAAAATTTCCATTTTCATGAGTAGCTCTAGTGTGCCAGTAATGGATAATTTAATTTAAAAAAAAAACTTGACTTTTCAAAGTGAAACCAAAGGAGACAAGTGGCGTTTACAAATTAGAAGTTGCACAATTGGTCGTATTCTTGTCGCCAAAGAAATAGAATACCTGTCTTAGATTTTTACCTGCTCATACACACACTACAAAAAAAAAATCAGTTTCCCATTGTAATTAAAGCATTGTCATTAAATTTCATGGAATCCCTCTTGGGAACTGAGGTAGTTGTGCAAAAATGGAATGGTGGCACCTGTGCCAGGCATATATCTCTCTATAGTCTGTAACCAATTTAGATCGGCCCCTTTACTGTGATCTAAATCTAGCATGGTGGTGAAATTCCCAAGTGCTTTCTACTTTTATACGCAGTCATTTGCCAATGTTCCCCTCTCCAAGGGGCTGCACAGCATGAAATCCCCACATGCGGAGCTAAACTTAGCAGCAAGGCTGCCTGCCACACCCGTTACAACTGTGCACTGTCGGAGATAGCAGGTGCATTCTGCACCATTCAGAAGAAATTAGCAGGTAGCCTAAGACTTGGATATAACTTTGGGCTTTATATTTTCCAAAATGCAAATGCACTCTTACAGGAATGCATGTTGGTGGTTTACGTTGTGTCTATATACTCAGACTCCATGGACTTTTAAAACTTTTTACTCTTAAACATACATGGGCTTCCCCCAGGCTGCCAGGCAATATACCCAAGCACTTAAGGATACAGGTATCCCATCACTCCAGGTTCTCCTTTTGGTCCCCACAGTATTTGAATGCACTTTACCATAGAGAAATCAGTAGCTGGATAAATGTTGGATCTAGTTACACTTTCAACAGCAATGAACGGCTCCTTAATGCCTTGTTGTTGAAACTGATAGAGACACAGCCTTCCTGTTACCTAACCATCCCAACCCAAATTGGAGAATATTAAAACTGCTTTGGAAGTACTACCTTGGGTGATGATTCCTAACTTATGATCAATTTGCTCACTAGGAAAACAACCACCCTCTTTCATCACAATAACCCCTGTGGGATCCAGATCTTATCTGAGCAAGAACCAAGGCACACAGCAGAGATTACCCCAAAATAGCAGCATAATCCACCAGTTTCCAGTGACATAGCATAAATGGAAATAACTTTAAGAAGATGTGTCATTATGGTAACTCACATGGTATTTAATCTTTAGGAAAATAAATTTAATATTTTCATGACAGTAAAGAAAAAATATCCATTTCTATTCAAGTATATTATATCCTTAAATGTATTAATTAGCATATTACTACTTTAAAAGTCAGCGATAATAACCAATGGGCATAATTTGAATTTATTTTTTCTGTACAAAATACAGACTTGACAATTCCCTGCCCCACTCCATTTTCCCTCAAATTGCATGTGAGCTGGGATATGAATGGGTAGGTAATTTACATATATGTGCACTCTATTTTTTAAAAAAATCATTTTTATTGGACAATATGTATACAAATGCTCATATATCACCAATTTCCTGCAATGTAACCTAACACAAAGACCACATGAATTCTCCAAATACTATACATTAATATGGGCACTACTAAACATATACAACTGCATATATTTCAGAATCATTAGTCATATGAAACAAGACATATTGCCAACAGTTATGCAACACATATATTTGGCAACAAATGGTAATGTTAAAAAAGTAAAGATGCATTTATCCAGTCTAACCTTTTTATCCATGCCAAATTAATTATTTTTTACTTTAGTAACTAATTTTGAGTGTGTAGATCCCACCATACTTGCTAAGTGTGTATAAGGGGTCCATTTAATACATTTAAATAATTACATTAAGTAATGCATTTTATTCACCTGCATTAGTACAAAATAACTTTGTTTTGTTTTGTTTTGTTTTTACAAAAAATGAAGAATTGTGTGGGGAAATTGGAAATTCCTTGGTTTTTAGCTCATTTGTATTTGAATTAGATTCATATTGTATTCAAGTGTGATCATATTTATATTAATGTGCAGCATGTCACTGATTCCTGGATAATAAATGCTGACTCTTTTGTTTGCTGATAATAAATGTCTGTTGTCTGAAGATGTAAATTGCATTGCATTAGTTTCTTCATTGCAATATAAATTATAATAACTGCTATAAATTTGTGGGACTTGCCATTTGGAGGTCTCATTATTATTCTGTATTTACTAACCTTCTAGCTTTCATTCTTTCCCCACTTGCAAATTGATGGGCATACTTGTTTATTTAGCACTACGATTAAAAAATAAATCAAATAACATTCAACTGTCAATGAGAAGGAATGTGAAGGATGAGTGACATCACACACAATGTACTCAAACACACACACACACCCCAATAGGATAATTTTCTTTAAAAAAAATGGACTTACTATGTTATGTGTATAAGTATTTTGTCTCTGTGGATGAATGTCCACCGTGTGCATGCCTGGTGCCCTCGGAGGTCAAAAGAGGGCTTCCTATCACTGGAACTGAAGTTAGGAATGGTGGTGAGCCACAAGGTATTTGCCAGGAATCCAAACTTGGTCCTCTACAAGGACGAGTGTTTTAAACTCCTGAGCCAATGGGTTATATTTTAAATGGTGCTTCCATTTTGTACTTTTATTCAACCCTCACAGTAACACTAGAAATACTGAGTAGAGAAAGGATGCAGTCTGTTTGACAAGACAGCGCAGGACACAAGAGAGATTTGTAAGCTAGTCATAGTTATACAGAGGCAAAATCAAGATTGCACTGCAATTTGTTGTATTTCTACTTTAGTATTCTCCCCATGCTTTGCTTTGTGACTACAGAATAAACAGTTCAAATGTATCCATTTTATAACACAACTATGCCCTAGAGATTAATTCTCAATCCCAAGCAACTCAAAACAAATAATTACTATTATGCCGCTTGTTTTAAATAGTCCTATGTATCCCAGAGCAACCTCAAACTTACTATGTAGCAAGAGATGACCTGAACTTTTTTATTGTTCTTTTAACTTTTATTGATTCTTTGTGAATTTCACATAGTGTATCCTGTTCCCACTTACCTCCCTCCTCCCCATCATTTTGCATCTGCCCTCTGGCTTGCAACCCCCCAAAACAAAACAAAATTTAAAAGAAGAAACAAACACCCAATCAAACAAATAACAACAAAAAAATAATAATCTTGTGAAAGCTGTAGTGTGGCCCTATGAATCACACAGCTTTTTCTTCAGTCCATTCATCTTGTAAGTGTTCATTGCTATTAATCTTTGGGCTGGTTCAAGTCCCCTGGCTTCTGCTGGGACTCCTCTTGAATATTCTGTTTTTGCCTTGAGTTGTTGAGGACCTGTAGTTTTGAATTTGTAGGTTCATCTCCTTCAAGTGTTCCAACAGTTCAAAGATGAGGTGGATGTTGGGGAGGGCTAACTCATGACCCCGGTTCTGGGCCTGAGTGGTAGCTGTGTTGGTCACAGCTCACCAACTTTTCCTCATTGTCACTATCCAGGCAAGCTCTACATCAGTGCCTCAGCTAGCTCACCAAATGCAGCTTGCAACAAGGAGCTGGGCCAGTTCTGCTCTCAGACCCAGCTTGCCCATACTCACACCACCAGGGCCAGGTCTACTGCTTTGCCCAGGCGAGGTGCAGGACCCTCTCTCCTGGTTATTGTAAGGGGCATACAAGTGGAATACAGGGTCAGTTCTGTATTCAGTTCTCCAGTGCCCCCTCCAACAGGATCTGATCTAGCACACTTCCCAGGTGAGGGGCACTCCTTGATGAGGGGGTGGGGCCATCTTTCCCATGTGTGGAGATCAGCTCTCCCCTGTGGGGTCAGGACCATCTCTCCTACTGC